TAGTTGCTCCAAGCCACTCCAATTTGCTCCAAACCACTCCAAGTTGCTCCAAATCCCCTTTTGGAAGATTTGTTCATTTGTCAATTGGTCCGTTCCTTTATTAGATAATCCAAATCCATCTTAGATGATCCGTTCCTTTATTAGATAATCCAAATCCATCTTAGATGATCCGTTCCTTTGTCACTTGATCCATGAACCTCAAGTGCTCCATTGAGATCTAATTGCTCCAAATGCTCCATTGATGCTCAATTAGAATGCTCTAAATGCTCCATGAGAGCGCTCCAAATGCTTGAGTCACATTTAACAGAATCTCATCGGTCGTTTGCAAAGCTACTTGCTCATTAGTTATCTTTGCACGTAGATTGTCACATGACAACACACCTAAGCTCATTGGGGGTGGTGTTCTCACGTGAGTAGAGGTGACACGTCGGATGGCACACGTGCTTTCCTCTCCCATACTAGATAGCCTAAATTGTTGAGGATGTTGGTAATAATTACTCACGTCCTTTTATCGGACTTTTTAAATCAAAGTTCGGTAGGTAATGGATTTTCTGACTAGGAATTTGATTCAATACTTTTTTTAGTGTTGTTGCTTTAGATCCTTTTGTGTATTATTATCTTATAAGAAAATGTGGAAAACATTTCGATCTTCAGTTAACTTGTAGAGTACATGATTATGTAGTCTTATATATTTAACCATTTAAATTAATAACTCTGTTGTGTTTCCTTTTTCAGATTGGCTTGTAAAATATTGTTTTAATACAAACTAGATTCTAACAGCATTGCCTAAATCTTTATTACAGGTTACTGAGTTAACATGTGGAGGCATAGTGATAGGGTGCATTTTTGACCATAGGATAGTGGATGGGTACTCGGCTGACATGTTTATCTCATCATGGGCAGACATAACTCGTACCGGAACTCCGTCTATGTTTCCCTCACTTGAAAGAACATATCTCAATCCGAGGTGTCCACCCATTTATTCGTCATCTATTAACAATGTGTTTGCACCCTTTTTACCCCCATCCAAGACTGTAAATGACCAAAATGACGATGATGGAGACCATTTACTCGTTAATCGCATATACTACGTTGAAAGTGAGCAAATTAAAAGGTTACAACTGTTGGCAAGTGAAAATGGGTGCATGAGGTCAAAGGTAGAGGCATTTACCTCCTTCTTGTGGAAGAAATTTGCACTGAGCATGGAAGACTCCGGGAAGCACAACGCAGTGTGTAACATGGCTGTTCCAGTCGATGGAAGGAGAAGGCTGAGTGAGGGGGGTGGAGAAGAGAAAGAAAAACTGATGGCTTCTTACTTTGGTAATGTTTTATCAATGCCGTATGGATCGAAAAAAGCACAGGTAATAAAATTAAACATGTGTCACCACTAGGGATTAATCTTTTTGTTCTTGATTTCTTAATCGTAAAAATCTATAAATTGCAAACCATTTTCGTTTTGAATTTTATCAACTACAATGATTCTTTTACAACTAAGTTATGAAGATTATTATATATTGTAATTCTGACTCGGTTTTTTTGACAAGTTAGGAGTTAAGGGGGATGTCTTTGGCCGATGTTGCTTCGGAGGTTCATGAGTTCTTGCAGACTGCAACTAACAAAGAGCATTTCCTGGAGCTGATAGATTGGGTGGCAGATAAACGACCACAACCACTGATATCAAAGGCATTTGCTGGTGAAGAGATGTCGATGATGGTGTCAGCAGGACAAAGGTTTCACACGATGGACGAAATAGATTTCGGGTGGGGTAAGGTGGCTTTTGGATCATGCCATATACCGTCTGAAAGGACAGACTTTTTCGTGATGATAATGCCTGGACCAGTCAACGACGAGGATTGGGTTGTTTACATGCATTTGCCACTGAAACAGATAAACTACATCCAGGAAGATGCTGGTGACGTGTTGAAGCCAATGAACGTTGATTATCTCAAGCTTTAACACAAGTTACATAATTCACTGGGATTGTGTTCAATTGATGTTTTAATTTGGAAAAACTACTGTTATTAATTCCTCCTAAATTGACGTTGCAAACAACTATGTTGTGTTAGCTTGTGTGGTTTGGATTTGTTCTCAATAATTTGAAAGTTTGTATTTGAATCTTATCCTTATTTCAAAAGTAATGTTTTGTATAATATAACACTACAAAAAATCAACCCTAGTGCAACCACAACATTAATGTCGTCTCTGAAGGTAAACAAGTCAACGCTTAGATATCAATGATGAGTTGATGACAAGTGGTTGCTAAAAGTTTCGCACTATCATTTTAGAATGTCGTCTATAGATCGGCCTCTCCAGACATCTCGTCTTAGAATCCGCTCGCTTTAAACATAAAATTTGTTAAATTAATATTATGAAAAAATTACTTAAATACCTATATATAGCGACAACATTAAACATTTAGTTGTTGGAAGAGTTGAACGTATTTTCCATTTAATTTTTACATGCTAACGAGGAAATCGCAATACACTTTAGTAAATTAACCAGAAATTATATATATATATATATATATATATATATATATATATATATATATATATATATATATATATATATATATATATATATATATATATATAGGAGTAGGATCAAATGATAACAACAAAAAGATTAAGAACGCGAGAACAAATCTGAGCTATTCAAATATTACGATCTAAGGCTAATATAATTTCTAAAAGTCTTGATATAAAATTGTAAATTTCTAAAAGTAATGGGATGAGATTGTAAATTTTAAATAGACTAAAGGGTAATATGGTCATTAAATGTTAACATATTTTTGTTAAGTTGTTGGAATCTCTCTCTCTCTCTCTCTCTCTCTTTCTCTCTCTCTCTCTCTCTCTCTCTCTCTCTCTCTCTCTCTCTCTCTCTCTCTCTCTCTCTCTCTGCCTCCTCTTTCTTTCTCACTTACATATTCAAACCTTTAAACCCTAATTGAGCCGTCAACACCATACGATCCTTCCCCAACCCTTCCATATACCTGCTTTGAACGTCGGCGACATAATGATGAAGACGATTTCACTGTGATTGAAAACCTCCATTTTCAATGTCTCTATCGTTGTCCTCATTCTATCAATTTCCCTTTTTCGCTTCAGTAAACCCCCTCAAAACAAAACCCTAACCCCCCAAAATATCACTAAAATCACAAGAACAAGAAGGGACACTAGCTCGGAGAAACTACATAGTAAGATTTGTCGAGTACAAGAAAGCGGAACATCACAAGGAGTATCTCGAGCAGAGCACGAAGGAGAAATTAAATGGATCTTCGTCTTGGGAATGGATTAACAAAAATGATCCTGCTTCTAAATTCCTTACTGTCTTCGGAGTCATGGCAATCGATGATGACCACCGGTAAGCATTGACTACCGTGTTCTGCAATGATTGATCAACCATCCATTAACCCTAACCTCTCACCTCAATAGTTGTTGCTGCTTTTTCTACCCTTAAGCATACAACTTTGGACATATTTCAGGTTCCGACCTTTCTATTTTCAGGTTCTGTTTTGCATTCTGGCTTGATTTTGTCCTATGTTGGTGGAATTTGTGTTCCTATGTAGTTATGCTAAGGAGGATGCCCCTAAGGTTGTACTTGTATTTTTTGTTGACCAATATTTCATTGTATCATTCAAAGCTTAATGTTATACGTTATATTCTTAATTCTTTCTTTATGAATATGATGTATAAATGAAGCTAATAAAAATATATAAATCAAGCTATAGGAATAAGACTTTAATCATATATAAATAAGATTGTAATCTATATATGATTTGAATAATATGATTTTTTTTCATTTAAGATTATTATATATTTTCGTCTTTGCATTATATTTTATTCCTTTATGATTAAAATTTTAATAGATTTATGTTTCTACATTTGTACAGTGAAATCCAACATCTTCTGGAATATAATGTTGGAATGATCGTGTTCAAGAAAACACTATAAAGTGGAAATGTTGAAAAGTTATTCATTTATGATTATGGAATTCAACCGAACACTGCAAAATGACTTATTTATTTATAAATTATAGAATAATAGTTAATTTTTGTATTCCAATTTTTGTTTGAGTTGTATTAATTTTGATTATAGGGAAAATAGTTAATTAGTATATTCTAACTTTGTTTTGTATTATTCATTTATGATGAGATGTATAATCTATACCTTATGCAATGTTGTTTATTCATTTATAATTATGATTTTATTGAAAACTTTTTATCTAAAAGTTGTGTTTTATTCATTTAAGATTATTATATGATTGTATAGAAATCTTTTATATTCAAATTATGTTTCATACATTAAAGCTTACAACAATATTCATAAATGATTACAAATGTGTTTTTAATGGCGATAAATATATTCATGTGTCATTAAAAATATTTGGATAATATGATAAATTCTACAATATTTTTAATACGCCGTTCGTAAAAAAATAAAAAACGTTTTTTTTTAAATCATGTTCAATGATATTTTATTAATCTTGTTAACAAAAAAAAGGTTACGACATTCCTAATATCATGGTGAATAAATACATTACATAATTATAGAAACTAATTAATTATCATAACTTATCTATATTTAAATAAATATGTCAAATTCCTTTTATGACCTTATAAAATGATTGGTCCACAATTGTTCTCGCGTTCTCAACATTTTAGATGTTATCATTTGATCTTATATATATATATATATATATATATATATATATATATATATATATATATATTATTAAACATATTGTCTGTTTATTGAAAATTAAGCGGTACAATACTTGTTACCTCATGTACAATAATATTAAGCTTACAATCTACAGGGTATACATATTACATGGTTACCTTATCTTGTTACCCTGATCTCCTATACGCACAACAACCGCCATCAAACCAAATCTCCTCTGTCTCTGTTTATCTTTTCACCCTCACGGCGTCAGGTGTTCTTTCCTGACTCCAACAACATCACACACTAGCAGCACACCACCCCCTGTCTCCACCAAAGATGGAATCGACGTCATGGAAGTCCTCCTTTTCCGTCACCGTTGTCCGTCACTTCTACCTTCTGTCAAGACGAGTAACCCTAACCCTATCCCGCCGCCACGATGAACCGCCTTCTGGTATTATCGACGCCCTAGGAGTCCACCTTTTCATTTGATTTTTAGCAAACTACAGCAATCGGATACAAAATGTGTCTATAAGCTTTCCCCTTCTCAATCTCGGTCTCGTAGGTGATTCTATCAGATTTAGAGTATTCTATATTCATCAAATATCCATACTTTATTGTTTTTCTAATTTGTGTTTCACTTTTTAACAGAGGAAAATGTTGTGCTACCAACACAGTCATCAGACGTAACGTCTATGACTTTTAATTCTCTTCAAACATAAAAAAACGATTTTATTTTCTTGCAAATTTAAATATGTGCTTCAATTTTCTGCAGGCATGAATTTTATCAGAAGCCAGAGGAAGTTGTTGTGAGCATATTTGCCAAGGGAATTGCAGCTAACCATGTGTCTATCAATTATGGCGAGCAAATAGTATGTTGTCATTTTACTTCTCTTTTTAATTTTGATTTTTTTCTACAACTTTCATAAAGGAAAAAGTGGTTTTGATATTTGATTGAATTGACTCCTTGTTTTTTCTAGATAAGTGTAACTATTGATGTCCCTGGGGAAGATTCTTACATTTTTCAACCTCGCTTTTTTTGGAAGGTGATGCACATAAACGTGTTTTTCTTTAAAATAGTTAAACCAACAAATTTATTTGAGTGTTTGTTTCTTTTTTTCTTAATTATAATACAACTAATACGCATATTTTTTGTGATAATTGAAAGATAGTACCTGCAAGGTGTGGATTTGAAGTTCTGTCAACCAAAGTTGAAATCTGGCTTGCAAAAGCTGAACCTATTCAGTGGTAATTACAATTTGGTTGCACAAAGGAGCAATGTCTCTTCAGGTACCTCACTTTCAATTGTATATATGATAATCAAATACTTTTCTGAAGTATAAAAGTGTTGTTTGGATAGATGATATTTCAAATATATATCACTCAGTCACAGACAAGTTGGTTAAATTAATGGACAACTGAAGAAAAGTGGTTGCATAACATAGTCTACTAGGAATTCAAAAGATTACATGACATTAATACTTTAAATTATAACACTTATGTAAAATATCTGGAAATTAATGGTATTACAGTTCATGTAACAATGGTAGCAATTACATTTTATGGAAATTAATATTGTAACGTAGTCTTTTTAGTGGTTAACCCATTTAAGCTTAAAAGAAAGAGCCATATTATTGGAAAAAGGAAAAAAAAAAAAGAAACAAGAGGTTAGTTTTGAGGTTAACTATTGTGTTGTGTAATGTAGGTAATCAAAGACCTGCATATCCTTCCTCCAAACCAACCAAAGACAGACTGGGATAAGCTTGAAGCCCAAGTGAAAAGGGAAGTATACAATACACTTTGATTACACAAACACACATTAAATAACTCACTTAACTTTTATGTTTTGTGTTTGTGTTTTCAAGAAAAAGATGAAAAACTAGATGAGGGTTCAGTTCTTAACAAGTTCTTTCGTGATATTTACAAAGATGCAGATGATGATACAAGAAGGGCCAAGAGGAAATCTTTTGTAGGAGCTTACTCATTTAATTCTTTATTTCATCTTTTTAATAATATAATAAATGGTTTATATAAATGAAAATGAAAATGGAACAATGGGTTGAGTCGAACGAGACAGTGTTGTCAACAAACTGGAAAGAGGTGGAAGTAAACGAATCAAATGAAATATACCCATCAATGGAATCTGATTTCCAAAATACTTATTGAACAAAAAAAGTCCATAATTTGGAACAAGGTGAAAGTATGGTTTTTTTTTCTTTCTATCTATAAGAAACCCCCTAACATGTTATTTGTGTTTGGTTTGTTGTTGATGGTTGTTGTCAGGTAATTTTTAAAGGCTTCATTTTTATAGAGTAGGATAATCAGGTAACATATCCATTTCATTTGCTTATGTTGACTATCTTACCATTAGTAAGTTGCATCTAATTAAGAAGGTGATGCTTTTGTAGTTATTCCATATACTACATTTGAAGTAAACGAATCAAATGAAATATGTCCATCAATGGAATATGATTTCCAAAATGTTTTTTGAAAAAAAAAAATCCTAATTTGGAACAAGGTGAAAGTACGTTTCATCCTTATGGTCCAAGGGGAAATGGGTTATTTAGAAAAAGTAACAGACTGGTAGTTAGATTTAACAATTCATGGACCAAAAAATCGTTATGAAACATCAAAAAAGGGCCAAACATGCAAATATCAGCTATTCTTAGGGACCAAAAATGTAATTTACTCTATTGAGTCTATTCTATATTATTTCACTTACCAACATTGTCATCTTGTAGTTCACTCTAATACTTGATCATTTTTATAAAATAGTTGTAGCTTTGAATTTATGATGCATGGAGAGATTATATGGTGATCATGGTCTTGATGCCATGGAAACACTTGGAAGAAATCCATGAACTTCATTTCCTGTTATGTTAATCATCTCAAATAGAAACAAGATGGGTGGAAAAAATGTAAATCAGATTTTAATAAAGTTTGGGCTGAAATATATGCAAAAAAAATTACAAATCACTCGATCACCTAAGCTTCTATTTCAAGCAACAAGATTCCAAGAATCTCAGTATAAAATGTAACTAAACTTTACCATTACTTTCTTTTCCTTTTAAAGAATTTTGTTTATTGTTTTGAAAACACCATTGGTGAGTGAGATCAAGGAAATAAAGGCAAAGAGTCAGAGAGGTGAAGGTATTCTTCTTTCCATTGTTGCTGGAAACCAACATTCCATCATGCCAAATCTTGAATTTGAATATTCTGATAATGATATTCATGAAGATGCATTTAAACTAATTAAATATTCATGTGAAGAGATTTGCACAACGAAAGAACAATCCAACAAAGTTTTTAATAGGGGTGTAAACGAGCCGAGTCGAGCCGAATACTACCAAGCTCGAAGCTCGGCTCGACTAAAATACTCGAACTCGAAACTCGACTCGAGCCTTGATTTTAAGCTCGAGCTCGGGCTCGTGAAATGCCCGACAGTCTCAAGCTCGGATCGGCTCGGCTTGACTAAAATTTAAAAAAAAAATCAAAATCACTAAATTGAGTAAGAAATATTAAACATTCCACATGTAAATTTCCAAAATACCAAAAAAACCACTATTAATCACCAAATATCAATATAACATCAACCATATATGTTATAAATGAATAATTATAAAGAAATGACATGTATCTTATAAATGAACAATTATAAAGAAATGACATATATGTAAATTACACTAAGCTCGACTAAGCTCGCGAGCCTTACGAGCTGAGTATTTTTTTTACTCGAGCTCGGCTCGATAAGGTACTCGAGTAGCTCGAGCTCGAGCTCGGCTCAATTAAGGTCGAGTCGATTTCGAGTATTTTCTGAGTCGGTCTCGAGTTTCTTGCGAGTTGGCTTGTCTCACTTACACCCCTAGTTTTGAATATTTGGACAACTTTCTTGGAAGTAATGCTTGGTGTCCATTCACGGGATGAACGTGGTGTGTTAGATTCAAAAAAGGATATTTTGGTAAATGGAGATAGTACTTTTGAAACATCCCAAAAATACAACCCATTTTTTTTGTTTTAACATTACTAAAAGCCACAACATCAAATGTTATATAAAAAACCATGTACCGCGTGTCTCAAAATGCCATAATAAATGTATCAAATCAAACTGAAATCAATATCATATCAAAATGTCTGAATAAAACTCCCAGAATAAAACTGTGAATGTGGTGTCTGCCATGTCATCAACCCAAGCTCTTCCCCTTGCTAGCAGGAGTACCTGAAACCAAAACTGAAATTGTAAGCACAAAGCTTAATGAGCTCCCCCAAACTACCACATACCATACAATAACATATAAAGCACATACTAGGCCTTGCCTACTGCATCAGACCAAAATCCGGAAATTGCATCGAACCAAAGTCTGGAACTGCCTCGGACCAAAGTCCGGAAACTGACCAAGGCCTTGCCTTTTGCATCGGACCGAATTCCGGAAATTGCATCAAACGGACGTCCGGAACTACCTAGGGCCTTGCCCCCTGCATCGGACTGAAGTCTGGAAACTGACTGAACATGGCATAGCATAATCATAACTACTAGCATAAACACATATACTGCATACGACATCGGACCGAAGTCCAAAACACATAACACAAACACATGCTTGAATCACAAAGACATTAAGCACCCTGAACTACTGCATCAGACCGAAGTCTAGAACTACTGCTAAACAAACGAGTCGGCATTGTGGTCGTAGACCTGTTCCTACTGGAAGGAAACTCACCTCGTAACGCTGGCTACAGAGATGCTAAATCTGGAACTAACTGACTACTACTCCGGAACTCCCTGGCTACAATCCCATAAACACTAAATCAGATACTGATAACTGTTCTTAGGGTAAAATGACTATTTACCCGTGGTCAAAATCAATATCCTAGTCAAATTCAACTATCCGTTGACCGGACTGACCGAGTTGGGCCACCAACTCGCTGAGTCCCTATCGTCTAATCTAATCCTCTACCTTCTTCCACTCGACAAGTTCTTCTTCAATACTAACATTGAGCCTAACTTCATCCGACTCGCCGAGTTGTATGAACAACTCGTCGAGTGCTCGTTCATCATATGAACACGTCTGTCTATGACTGGTCGAGTTGTATGAACAACTCGTCGAGTCTGATTTTAGGCGCAAAAAGATTGCCTTGGACTTTCCGACTCGCCGAGTCCTCTACATGTCATTACTATACAACCCATTCTAGTTGATTTCAGTGCATTCAATTCATAGATCTGGGCTTCCAGGGCTAGTTTTGCATGTAAAGTTTCCAACGTTACGTGCATGCATACGAGAATAAGGATAAAAATACCAAAATCATCCAATACTGAGCACTTAGGGTTTGGAACAAGGCTATTAATTTCCGCATAAAGGTAGCTGCATTAAGTTCCTAGAGCTCAATAACATCCAGATTTATGGTCTCCATCCTAAAGAGAGCTCACATCTCGATTTTGAATCATAAAAGGCTCCAAAAGAGACATAGCAAGCATACAAGATGGTTTAATGGAGGAATACACAAGGTAATAACTTTATTACCTGAATGAGAAACATATGGAAGCTAGCTCTTGGATCTCCTTTCTCTTCTATGGACCTTCTTTCCCTCCTTCTCTTCTACAATTCCCAAACTATCACAAAACACTTAAGCTCAACAAAGGGGGACTGGGGTTTTACAGAGGAGTGCTCTAAAGGTGCTGGAGGCTGGGGTGGGAGGGTATAATGACGTTTAAATAGGGTAAAAACCTTGGGATTTAGGGTTTCATCCAGACAAGCGGACTCGCCGAGTCCGGAATATAGACTCGTCGAGTCGCCAACTAAGAACGTGTGCAAATCCGGTCTCTACTCGACCAGTCGGGCTACAGACTCGTCGAGTTCCTCTTAAGGAAGGAAAATACTTATATTTAAATCACATACCAGAAATGGGGCGTTAAAACTTTAGTCAAAGAAGACGGGCTTCAAGTTCAACCAGAGAAAGAGGGTGGTAAGAAGCACACGTGGATCAATTTGGAAATAGTTTTAGTAACATGATATTTTTAGTATATATGCAATTAAATTAACTTGTGTCATTTTTTTAAAATTTTAATTTAGGAAATTGTTTTTGAAGGGCGTGAGGCGACTACTAGACCAAGTAACACTACTGAAAATGGTCATGAAGAAAAATCAAATATTCATGAGGTTCTTGTGTCACAGGTAAAACTTTATATCACCCATTTTTTTTTATCTATGTTATTTGTTGTTAAAATTTCTTTTAGACAAACAACTAAATGAATAATTTTTGTGCAAAGTTATGAAAAATCATTTTGTTTTTGGAAGTTTTGCTGTTTTACCGCTTATGGTGATATATATTTTTCCAACTTCACCATTTTCTTACTTGGATCAGGTTTCAAAAGTAATTGTTATATAATTTTGTTTAAAAAATATAATTTTCCTTACTTTGGCGTTCATTGTGTGTTAAGTTAAAAGAAATATTTTATTTACAAATTAGAGCACATGAATAGTGGTATAAGATCTACAACAATGGGAAATGGAAATCCTGGTGAGTCATCAAAAGTGGAGAAAGAAGATGGGGGAATTATCACCCAATCATAATTCGGATGAGGTCAATTTTTCAACATATCAAGACAATGGGAATGAGAATGGGACACATAAAGGGGAAATGGAAGCAGATGGTGATGATGAAGAAAGTGATGATGTTTCCGGTGGCTGTAATGACATCTTCGGTGATAAATCTGGAGGTTCCAAGGAGGAGGAGGAGGATGAATGTAAATAGGAAAATGAAGGAGAAGGGAATGGAATTGAGGATTTCATGTATTTATTGAAAAAACTATATGCCTCCCGGCGCTTAGCGCGGGTAAACGGCTAGTATGTGTGTGTGTGTTCGTATATATATATATATATATATATATATATATATATATATATATATATATATATATATATATATATATAGGGTGAGTTTCAATATAGAATCATAATTAACCAAGGAACCAATCGTGAGCATCGGAAATCATAACGATCAATGGCCAAGAAAAATAGATGTACACTTTTACATTGGACGCACACACACCGGATTATAACAAAAAATCCACCCTTTACAAAAAAATCAACCACTTTTTTTCGTTAAAATTTTTTTTAGGCCACGATTTTTATCAAAAAAAAAAACCAAATATACCATTGTTCACGATTTTTCGTCATCTTTCGATAGAGATCAATGATGATATATAAAAAACGAACTCTTTTTTTTCGAAAAAAAACTCACTTCATTTTCTTTAATGAAAAAAGTTAAGGTCTATTTTTTTATAGAAAAAAAAGTAATCAATATATCAAAATTCATATTTTTGTAATTTTTAAACATAGATTCATATTCATATAAAAAAAAAGAAAAAAAAAACGATATTTGAGTTCATATTCATATTGTGAACTTGTTCAGATTCATATTGTAAACATGTTCAGATTCACATTGTGAACCTCCTTAGATTCACAGTGTGTATAATAATAAATCAGATTCACAGTGTGAATCTAAACTGATCGGAGCTTTTTCATATTGTAAATGTTAAAATTTGAAATATTTACAGTTTAGATTTACAATGTAAATCTACACTGATTGAGGGTTTTTTTTTTTTTTGTGACCTTCTCAGATTCACAATGTGAATCTGAACTATTCGAGATTTTTCATATTGTGAATGTTAAACATTTAAATATTTACAGTTTAGATTCACAGTGTGAATCTACACAGTTCGAGGTTTTTTTTTTAATCAGTGTTGATGTTTATTAATAGAGTACAAAAAATTAATATTTTTGGTATAATTAGTTTTTTTTTTTTTATAAAAAAAAAGCTTAAATATTGAAAAAAAAATAAGAAAATTAAGTGGGTTTTTTTTTTCGAAAAAAAGTTTGTTTTTTTATATATATCATTATGGATCTCTATGGAAAGAGGACACAAAATCGTGAACAACGGTATATTCGGATTTTTTTTTTGATAAAAAACTTGGCCTAAAAAAATTTTAAATGAAAAAAAGGAAGTTGATTTTGTTATAATCCAATATATGTGCGTCTATTATAAAAATTTATAACCTTTCTTTTGCCGTTGATCGTTTAAAATTCCGACGCTTTTGATTGGTTCCTTGAATAATAATGGTTCTTTATTGAATGTTTGTTTATATATATATATATATATATATATATATATATATATATATATATATATATATATATATATATATATATATATATATATATAGAGAGAGAGAGAGAGAGAGAGAGAGAGAGAGAGAAAACTGTAAGATTGATCCCTGTGGTATTCAAAAAACTTTGGATAGGGTCCAAAAAGTTTTTCACTTGCATAGAAGGTCTAAAATCAAGGTTTTTCTGTGTTTTTGGTCCAAAAAACATGAAAAGACGGTTATACCCCTTTACTTTCTTATATATATATACACACACACGCAGACGAACACAAAATCTGCCAAACCTAAGCACTCTATACCTCTCATCGAATCGCAAGA